GTGCTATTGACTCTCAACAACTGCGACATGATGAATGAAAAAATATAGCTGTGTACTAAGCATTTATTCAAGTTTTTTTTTTTGTTTATTTTCGAATGGATAATTTACAGAAATAACAATTTGCTTGAGCAGTAGCCGGTCCATCCCAATGTGTTGTCCAATCAGGTCTGTTGTAGTGAACATAGCATGGAAGTCGTATTTGAAGATCAAAATTGGATGTGTATTCTGCAGGCAGTTTGTGCCATATACTCAATTCTGCAGGTCTCACATTGCTTATTAAATATTCCAGCGGCGGAATATTCTTCTCAAACTCTTCTAATGTAAATTCCGATAATGTTTTATTATCCATCGTTGTTGTGTTTTGTTATTGTATAGAAATTTCAAACACAATTGTCCGCAATTAACTTGATTATAAGTTTGGTAAGGATCGTTGTTGTAGAAAATTTTAGCGTTTTTCAGATATCGAACAAGTTCCTGTGGAGGCTTCAGGTTACCAAATGAATCGAAATACTCAACGTTGTTGTTTATCTTTTTATAAGCTACCCAATGAGTTCCGTTGTTTTGTGAAATATCTAAGTTCACGACGGCGCATTCTCTTTTACGTGGACCGTCTCGTGGTAAAGTGTCACGCATGAAGACACCTCGGAAATGAGGTATGTTCAAGAGCTTCGCATATTGCTTTATTTCATAATCATAAAGCGCTTTCTTGGGTAGCTTGATGTTTAGTTTTTTTGACTTTTTTTTTTGAGGTACAACCCATAACCACCTTTAGCATTTTTCTCAAATACAATCCTTTGCCCAAAGACTCCATAGCTTTGTTATGGCGATGGTCTTCCTCCAATTTCTTTTGTGCATTCTTGGCATCAACGACCGTTTTGGCCACACCTGCAGCTCCCCCTGCGAGCGCCCCCAAGGCACTTAATCCGGCGAAAAGGGGGATCAAGGGTAGGAATCCCCCAGATTTGCCTTCGATCGGAATTATTCTCGGTAGTCGAACTTTATGTTTTCCACCTGCACTCTTCACCGCTAATCTTGCCGCTTTAAGAGCAACCAATGCAGACTTTTTTAATGTCGTGGTGGTGGGAGCATTTTCTCTTCAAGGACTTTGTGATTTTCGTGAGAACACCTCGTCGAAAAGATGATTTCTTCTGCCCCCATACCCAATTTTCGCTTAACTTTCATTGCGGTGGTTGTTAGCCAAGCTGCAGTCTTTTCTCCTAGTGAAGCGTCAGGTGCTTTTACACGTTCCCAGGCTCGGTTCTCAGAATCCAATCAGCTTTGTGTCTGTCCTTTCAAATTTTGTATAAGGCGTATGCAATATCGTGGTCTCTTGCAGCACGATCCAATGGTTCTTTCCAGGATCTCCTCGTGCTAACCTCTTCTTTAATTTAGTCCCCGCTGAAAAATACATATACATGTGTGAGAATGAAAAAAAATATCCTAATCTGTCGCACACTTACGTCCAGGAACTGATACGAAGGTACGTGGAGTTCTATCGGAAGATTATTTATCAGAGAGTTTACAACACCTTCACCCTTGTACGTTAACATGAGAACTGTTGATGATGCGTTAGCAATATCTACATATATACTTTTACACATTCCCTATTCGAACGCCACACGATGAAGGTTGTTCAACAAGAGCAGTCATTACCCATTGATAACTTGGATTTTACAGCAAAAACTCAACATAGTAAACATGGTAAATGTTACCGAATTCGTTTCGCGCTATCATCTGCGGACCAAGCGGATGTGGAAAAACGAACGTAATGCTGGCGCTGCTTTTCCATCCAAACGGTGCTAAGTTTAAAAATGTTTACGTTTATTCAAAATCGTTGTATCAACCAAAGTATCAACTGCTTCAAGAAGTGATTTCCGCTGCTAAGGGGTGTTGGCTATTTCCCATTTAAGGATAACGAGGAATTATAAGTCCAAGTAAGGCTAAAAATAGCTCTATATTTATATTTGACGACGTGTCGTGTGACGGTCAGCAGAAAATTCGAGAGTATTACTCCATGTGTCGTCATAAAGATATCGATGCTGCATATCTCTGCCAAACATACTCTAAAATTCCAAAACAGCTCATACGAGACAACTGTAACATTATAGTACTATTTAAGCAGGATGAAATTAATCTAAAACATATATTTGATGAGCATGTATCTCCAGATGTTACTTTTGATGAATTCAAAAAGATGTGTTCGGAATGTTGGGCAGAAAAGTACGGTACGTTAGTTATTGTTAAAGACTCTTAATTATGGTCGATACAGAGTAGGATTTGATAAGTACATAAAATTGTAGGCTTATCATGTACGCCATCATTCAGTAACATGATGTCAAAGGACCAAGTTGCCGTTGCTAGTCATAAAGAAAGATCGCAGAACTTGCTCGAGCTATACGTAAAAAGTATCTTACTTTAAAGTTAGGTCGAACTGCAGAAGATGAATCTATTAGAAAACTTTTCAAATCAATATCTGAACCTCTTAAGCAAATAGCTAAGACTCAGCAGCATCCTTCATTTATTATTAAAAAAGAGGAAAAATTGAAACAGGATGATGATGATGATAATGATGATGTATTCACACAGGACCCAAACTATCTCAATTTAGAAGACGTGGCTTCAACTGATGAACAAGGTAATATACCGCCGAGACCTGAAACACCACCACTACCTGAAGAAATGC